ATTCAAACAAATTCATAACATTGCAAATAAACCAAGAAAATAAATCGATAAATTCAGATCTTAGCATTAATTATAATAATACAAAAGCTGTCATGCTTGGTAAAATTATCATCATCTTAGTTACCTTCTTGTTTCAATGTGCATTATCGGGGAAGACAATAACCTTTTAGACGCCAGATATTCTCTCCATCTCGTACATCAAGAGCGAACTATGGGAGAACTGTATGAGAGAATTGCAGACAATAGTAAAGTTATCAGAACCGACTTCGTTTACCTTATGCACTGCATTAAAATTTTCAGCAAATAAGGACCCCTGACTTCTTTCCAAACATAAATGACAAATATAATGGTGAAGCTTTTTACAAATGGATGATGAGCAAAGAATACAGAGAATATGTTCATATTCCCAAATTCAATGTTAGCTGCAGTGCTAATGGTCAGCTTGTCAGCTATAATCCTAGTGATCCTGATTATATTGATCAAAGCAACCCAACCAACAATCCTGAAGAAGTTATCAATGTTGAACACAATCCTTATAGATATACAAAAAATTATATTACATATACAGAAGAAGGTGGATTTTTTTTTTCACTATCTGATATTTACATTGAATATCTATTAAATGGGATATGGTGGAATAGAAATAGAAAAAACACATGTTTAAATGTCTTTGACTCTAGGCATAGCCGATTAGCTCGATCTGAACGAAAACTCCAATATAGTCTGTCAGGATATAATGCACTGTTTATTTACACCAAAGTTCATATGAAGGTTTGTTGCAGTCACCAGGTTTCAGTTACAGTAAGTCGCACTATCTTTTCTCAGACTCTTCTTTACATTAATGGCAAAAAAGTCGGTGAGCAAGCACAGATTAAGCTTGGTAACTTTATTCTTTCCGGGGGTCAGAAGTATTCTAAGGATGGTCACGGAAATTTAGCTCCTAGGGGTCAGGATTTAATATGGAACGGAAAAGTCTAAACTAGTGACAGCATCATATATTATAAATTATAAATTATAAATTATATAAGTTGTTCTATTTTTTATTTGATTCTATAAGCGTAATAATAAATAAAATTCTTGATGCAAATTACAGTATCGAAAAGTTTTATATATATTTGGATCTGACTGATTCGCTTTCTGAGACTAGAATTTACTAGTGCGAAAAAAAGTAATTTTTGTGAACTCAGATCCTGTATTATTTTTTATGATTTCGAATACACTATGTGAGAAAGCAGTACTTTTGGACTCTTGACTCGATCATTCATATGATAATTAATTACCTTAAATGACCGAACAAACTCTATAAAATTCACGTTATCCAAAGTTGAAAATCATAACTCCAAATAATGTGCTATTAATTAAATCCATATATACACCTATTCTTTTTGTAGCCAAATCTACCTACCCTTCGAATATTCACTGCCTCCAATCGAATGTGTACTACATAACTAATAACAATAGTATTTATTTTAAATTTATTAGTCACACAACACCACATGGCGATATACGATTAAAAGTATATTATCGGGTAGAACCAAATGCCTATTAATAATCTAATCCCAAATATAGAAAATGTGTAATTGTTGGTTGATCTATCGTGTTCAATAATTGTGGTGCCGAATTTAGTAAACACGCAATT